GCTCTTGCTCAGGCTGGTCTCGAAATCCTGAGCTCAAACGATCCTCCCGCCTCAGCCTCCCAGAGTGCTAGGATTACAGGCGTGAGCCACCGCGCCCGGCCCTCAGATCAGATTTTTAAAAATAACCCATCCTAAAGTCTAGTGAGGAAATGAGTAGCTGAAGAAATGAAATGACTTAGCTGTATCAAGATAATTAGGGCATAATCTCAGGAAGTCAAGTTGGGAAAGTCTATAAAAGTAGTCATGGATAGAACCAGCTTTACCATAATCCATTCTAATCAGTATACCAGAGCAATGAGTTATAGGCTGTATTGTAAATATGATGCTTTTTTTATTATAATGGAAATAAAGTGACCTGTGGGGACTTCAGTAAAAAGAGGAATAAGAACAAATGAGGGGCCTTTTTGGGTGGTGATCCATACATAGAAACTATATGTTTCTGTGAAACTGTGAACAAAAAAAAAATTATTGAGATACCCGAGGACAAGGAATATAATTCTGTATGCTAGCTCACCAGGAGAATAATCTCTCCTTCCCCTTACTCTGCACACTGATGTGAGATGCCAGCCCAAGACTGAACAAAGAATGTCAAGAAGCCCAAATAATTCACTGGACCACAGCAATAACGTTGCCTTCTTTGGACATCTTCTGTTTCATCCTGCCACATGGTATGCTTTTAGCTAAAGGTAATAAATCTGAAAGAAATGAAAAACCTTTTGACCAAACACAGGAAGACTGCATCAAATACTGATATCAGTACCATACTGGTTTGCTAGGGCTGTCATATCAAAATTGAGCAGACTGCGTGGCTTAAACAACAAATCCTTCTTTTTCTCTCAGTTCAGGAGGCTGACAGTGCAAGATCAAGGTGCCAGCAGGGCTGGTTTGCTCCGAGGACTCTCCTTCACTTGCAGATGGCCGGCTCTTGCTGCATCTCCACGAGGTTGTCCCTCTGTGCACAGGCACCTGCTGTCTTTTTTGTGTCAAATTTCCTCTTATGGCTGAGCATGGTGGCTCACGCCTGTAATCCCAGCACTCTGGGAGGCCGAGGTGGGAGGATCACTCGAGGTCAGGAGTTCAAGAGCAGCCTGAGCAAGAGCGAGACCCCGTCTCTACTAAAAAAAAAAAAAATCCCCCTAGAAAAAACGTCAGTCAGATTGGATTAGGGCTCACCCTAATGTCCTCATTTCAACTTAATCCCCTCTTAAAAGATTCTCCAAATATGGTACTGGAGGTGCTTCGACATATGAATTTGGAGGGTAGGGATACAATTCAGCCCACAACAGGTGCCTGACCCCTCAGCTGTCAGAAGAAGAGGAGGCTCATTTTCCCTCTGTTTGTCTGTCATGGACTCTCCTGTGGTCTCTGGAGTATGAGAAATGCTCAGTAAACACTCATTTTATGAACGAATGAATGTGTGAACTGATTCTGTCATAAGTGGAATAGGTGACAGACTACTGAAAAATTTTATGGGCATCCCTTGTATAAAACTTCCACATAAATAAAAAGAGCAGATTATCTATGATGGTGGATGTCCATCCAAACACATTTCCGTGGAAAATGTTCCATTTATAAGTGGATCTTCATCATCTCACAAATTGACTTCTCAGCTTCATGACAATAAACATCATTCCAGCCCCATTTTCGTGAAGGATGACGAAAATTTACTATGGCACAGCGCTCTGAAGGGTTATTGGGTTCACCTGAGTGCCAGAATCTGAAAGGGAGAAGAAGGATGATAGTGTTTTGAAATAAACAAATGACATTTTGGAAAGGGTTGGAGACTGGGGGGGGCTAGGGTTACAGTGTGAGAGGCAAGGTCAGATATACCCAAATGCCCCTCCTCTTTTTTTTGTTTAATTTCAAAATATTAAGGGGGTACAAATGTTTTTGTTACGTGGGCAGCTTTTATAATGCTTTAGTCAGCGTTATGAGTGCCCATCACTCAGATAGTGTCCATTGTACCTGTTAGGTGGGTTTTTACCCTTCCCCTCCTCCCCTCTCCCCAGTTTGTTTGTTTGTTTTCTATGCACTGTTTTTGGAAGCTGAAGAACAGGTAAATTCCCTAGAGCTGCTACTTACTCTCTGTTATTTCATGCAAGTAATTTAATTTCCCTGATTTTCAGTTTTCCTATCTAAAAAAATGGGGACTAGAGTAATATCCTTATATATTTCACATAGTTGATACGAATGTCAAAGGTAGTAATGTATACTAAAGTACTTCAAAGTTTGTAAAAAAACACCTACATAATTAAGAGTAATTAGGCCAGGCACAGTGGCTCATACCTGTAATCCCAGCACTTTCAGAGGCCAAGACCAGAGGGTCACTTGAGCTCAGGAGTTTGAGACTAGCCTGGGCAACACAGTGAGATCCCTGTCTCTACAAAAAAATTTAAAAATTAGCCAGGCATGGTGGCGAGCACCTGTAGTCCTAGCTACTCAGGAGTCTGAGGTGGGAGAATCACTTGAGCCCAGGAATTTGAAGCTGCAGTGAGCTATGATTTTGCCACTGCACTCCAGCCTGGGTGACAGAGCAAGACCCCGGATCGAAAAAGAAAAGAGTAATTATAAGACTATCAGAATTAACATTTTCACTTTATGAG